AAGTGGTCGGCAATCATGACGACCAACAAAAGTATAGACAAATCGCTGAGAATTATGTGACGGAATGGATTCGTATGGGAGAAGACCCCTCTAATAAACACATGAAACTCAGTTATAATGACAACAACACCTGGTTTTTAATGTATAATTTCTATGCGGATGTGCTTTTGGGCACTAAATTGATCCCCGAATCGGTTGGATATTTGTTTTACATTATTATTTAATTCATTTGATTGCAATTTTTATTGATTAATAGATATACAAACAACAGGACGAGTGGTACCTATCAATAGAAAATTATTATGGCGTACCCTTAGGTAGTGGTAAATCTCATACAAAGTTTGATTGGGTTATGTTTACGGCCGCCGCCTCTACTAACCCCAAACTCCGACAGTCTATGTTTGATAGGACTGCCCAATGGCTTCGGGAAACGCCAGCCCACGTGCCCTTTTCAGACTGGGCTGACACACAAACTGGTGTTTCCCCCGGATTTGTTAACCGACCGGTTATTGGGGGTGTATTCGCGCCGTTGACTATTAAACACTAATATGATGTTTTTCATTAATTAAAAAATCAATTATTTATACTAATATTATAGAATAATAATTATATAATTATGTTATAGAATTAATATACTATATTTTATTAAAAGCTAACATTTTATTGTTTTATGAATAATTGACAATGATTTCAAAATTAGGGATACAAAGGGTTGTTCAAAATGTAACCCAAATATAAATATATGAATAAGGATTTTAATAATGTTTTGAGATATGTGTAAGCCTAAAACCATTTAAAGCTTTTTGCTATGAATATATGAAATATTTATTAAACTTCTATCATACTGAAATAATGAATAAGTTTAATAAAAGTATGATAGAAGTTTAATAAATATTTCATATACAGTAAACGCTACATAGCAAAAAGCTTTAAATGGTTTTAGGCTTACACATATGAATTAATGTCCATCACTTATATAATGTATAAATCAATTTTTTATTTGTCTAAAACAGTAAACGCATAAAAAATAAGATTTTTATAAAAAATTTCCAATATCATCTGGCATAATTCACATCATGATCAATAACTTAAATGTTGTGACAGAGTCTAGATTAAATAACTATCCTAGTATGATTGTCCTAGTAACAATTTGACTCTCAACCAATTTAAGGAATAATTTATGAAAGTACATTTCCTTCTAATATGTAGTTGATAAGAATTTAGTGGAGAATTGAGTGCAAAGAGTTTTTTACTACGTTAATTGTAATAGAGCACTTTATAATGTGAAATAAATACAATAAATCAGGGTTTAAATTATCTCATCAGATAAGTGTATTTAATTGCTTATACAATATTATTAAAGAGAATAGCATCTGGTTAGGTTTATATCCGTATATAATCTAGATTCAGTAATGTATAACTGTGTGAATATTATGAAAAAAATTTAATGTAAAAGTAAGTGTCTTGTATATAAGGAATAAAATATTATACTTTTAATTGTAGTTTCATTTTGACACTGATAATTATATATAAAATGAATTTCAAACTATCGCTAAGACATTCACTAATTGTTTTCATTTGTGTATTCATTGGCGACAAGAGTTGCAGTGCTGTTGACAACGGTATGAATAAAACAATCATTTTAACAAACATTAAAACCGTAACTAATTTTTAATTCACAATAAATACTTTCACAGATGTATTACCAGCCGTACCACTAGTGGTTAAGAGTCCATACCTGTCCACATGGATGACCAGTCGCCAGTTGATGGGTGATTGGCCCCGATTCTGGAACGGAAACATTAAAGGTATGGCCGGTTTGGTGAGAGTGAACGGACAGACCTACGAGTTTATGGGTCACCCGACTCAGGAAGACATCGGCACCAAATTGCAGGCCAAACAGGTGTCCCTTAAGGTGACTCCCACTCAGTCTATATTCACGTTCAATGCCGGCCCCATCGCACTGGCAGTCAATTTCTTCACACCCATAGACCCGACAGATCTCAAGCGAC